GGGCTGGTGAATTGTGGAAAAGTCTCGTCGTCCCAAATTCTACTAACCTTAGAATACGAAGCTATCTTGCCAAGCAAATGTGAGTGTAATCAGCAGGTCAGATAACCTCTATGAGCGAGTTGTCTAAGAAGTTCGGGCTTTTTGATTTTACGCTCCGAAGCCTGCCGATGGGTTCCGCTAAAACATTGATGATCTTGGATTGAAAGAAAACTTCGCTTATAGAGGTTTTTAGACAAGCTGGTTACGAGATTAGTGGTTTTTGAAGAATACAGGGTCTTTCTGCAGAGATATTTTGAGGTGACTGTAACTGAGTCACGAAAGCTCGTAAAATTGCCTGCAATTCTCTATCGGTCAGAGAACTTGCCTGGTTGCTTTTATATGTCAAAATCAGTAGCATGTGCCATCGAATGGTGACTATCTCAGGCTCCAGCTATTTGCCCAAATTGTAAAAATCGCGTTCTTTGTCAAATTCCACCGTAAGTGGTTATATGTTATGGCCGAAAGAAAAATTATGGCCCTGCTAGTTTGCGCGATTCGCGCGGAATTCAGCGGAAATCCTGGAATGTCGCGTAATTCCGGGAACGTCGCGAGATTTCGCAGACTTTCCGGAATTCCGCGACATTCGCGTAAAATCACATTCTGAGATTGCGGCAATATACGGCGCGAAAATCTTATACAAAGCCAATATAAATTTTTTGAAGTTTTCAAAGATTATTTTAATTATTCACAAGTACAAACTAGTTACCTGCACATTCTTATGACTTATGTAAGTAACTTGAAAAAATTTCGCATTCACTCTCGGGGGGTGCGCGCGCCCGCCCCTCTCGATCCGCCACTGCTGGTTTTGCTTCTTCATGCTACGAGCTTTAATTAGACGAAAACTGCTCAATTCGAGGACTTATTTTAGTTCTTTCAAAAGTCAAGCAAGAACTTACAAAAAATTGCATTAATCTGCAAAAGTTTCACCTTACATCTAGCCATCAAAACATCTTCAAAACTATCACATGAAAATTTCGAAAACTGGCAAAAAACAGACATGGTGGAAAAGAAAGGTCAAACTCAGATTATCCTAGCACTTGTATATAAACTCGATTCGGTCTCTGAAAAGAGGAAAAATATCTGTACTGAATACTATTTGAAAATGTTTATTTTTACTGTACGGGATTTGCAGGTATGTCACGTAAGCGTGCGTGCGTACACAGAATGTTCAAATTAAGAATGTTTGATACTCATATCTCTTTACAAATTAGGCAACATTGTATATTCAACCTAGAATTCGTTTTGTGGGGAACGCCTCTTCATTGCTGAACCATAATCTCCTAGTACATAACGTTATTTAATTTTTTTGTAAGCTTGAAAAAATCAACAACTTGGGCACTTCTGCGACAAGAATTTTGTATATGAGTAACAACCACGTAACGTTCCTCAGAGTAATAATGTTGTAATGCTGTTCAACAAGACACTTAGTGTTCCAAAGAACTTCGAAAAAACCGCTAAATCTGACGTAATTTTGAAACGAGGTATCTCTATAGCAAGTTCAAATGGCATGGTAGCAAAGTTTTGGCTCCTTCGCCATCTTTATTGCGAAAAGACTCGGTTCTCAATGGCGCAAAAAGCTCTCAACTCAATCCGACACTAGGACAGTAGGTGATTCGCTCAATACCAAGTGAAGAATACCAAGTAGCTAGTAGCTCAATACCAAGTGGGAGACATGTTAAATCCAGCCCTGAATGATCAAAAAGAATTGAAAATAACATTGAACAAAAAATTGAACATTCGCCACATTCACTGTGATACACTGTACTTAAATGGTCGACACGTTGCTTTTAGTGAGGGAAAAGATAAACAGATTGCTCATGTGCCAACTCTGCTTAGCTGTAGCTCTGAAAATAATGTTTACCACTATCTCAGTTTTTCAAGGCTCTGTTTAGGTTCTGTTTCTTTACAATGTTCAATTTTGTACCACTCCAAACAATTAATTTACAATACTTTTTATAATGTGAGTGAGAAAGTCAATTTATTGTGAAGATGTTTGAACCTTTAATTCAAAAATATTTTTGAAAGGCAAAATGTGAAGTTTTGGGGTAAAAGATTGCGGAAAACCAAATCAATAAATACACATTATTTATCGGAGTGAGATTTTCAAATTGTTCGCAAGATCAAAAAGTTTTAGCAAGACATGAGCCAAATTTAAAAATAAAACCAAGCTCACAGAAAAATCACGATTGTGATAGATGCGCTCAGCATCTAATTGATCTGCATATTTCTACGACTGACTCCGGATATGCAACGATTGGCAAGGAGAAAATGCTCACAAAGTATAGTATTGTCGCTCAAGTGTATTTGGGAAACAGCAGTGACAGGTAAAGTTGCGTGCGAGGCTATGTTAGCAGTTGAGAGTACTAATGAAGAAAGCCTTTTAGGGGCCAAATTGCAAAACAGGGGACAAATGATCAAATATTGATGGGCACACAAGTTTTGCAACTTCGCTCGTGATTTTTCTCTTTTTGATGCGACGCATTCATATCTGGTCATAACGTAAACTAGTAGTAGGCTATGAATACGCAAACAGTTCGTTTTGGTAACAGAATAAAGAGTATTTACGCATTTTCGAAAGTGGTCAAATTCGAAATTCTAAAGGTCGGAGAAATTAAAATAAAGCTGTTCTCAGTCTAAATCAGTCACATCAAGCCGAAACTGTACCTGGATTGTTGATAGAGGAATCTCTGATGATTTAACAGTTTCGGCTTGATGTAAATTATTCAGATTGAGAACGGGTTTATTTTTGGTTTGCGGACCTTTAGAATTTCGAACCTGCCAACTTTCGAAAAATGTTTTCTTCATCTTGCTGCCAAAAATGGAACTGTTTGCCTACATTTCATTTGTAGCCTACTACCCATTCTCTTATGCCCAAAAATGAATTCGTCACAGTCAAAAAGAGAAAAGTTACGAGAGAAGTTGCACAACTTATGTGCCAACCTAACTTCATAACTTCACATAAAATCAATACTCTCATGTACAGATTTATCACAAAATTCTTGGTGATGTGAATTACAAAACACCAGTCTAAAATGTAAATAAGTCGCAGATGCTTCGCCAGCAGATGGTGCGTCATATATTGAACAAGATTCTTATTTACTCTTATTGCAACACAATTTTTAAACAAATAAATTTCGCTTTCTGCAAAAATCACGTATGTTTTCAATTTTTGCCGAAGCAATGTGCTCTCTCACATCTAAAACGAGGATGATAAAGAGCATCTGTTTTATCCGAATAGCTTTGTTGGTATGCCTTGAATAGCTTTCCATGTGAAGAAATTTGCTTTGAAAGAAAAACACAAGTTTTTCTTTTGAGAAAACCAAAATAAAATTCAAGCTTGGGTTTTCTCGGAACTAACCACTACCCGGTTATTGTCCTCAATGAGATCTACAATATTGTATGCTTAATTGTCCGGAAAACTTCTGTTTTGCCCCAAGAAGGCCTAAAAGAATTTTTTCGCGTTCAAAGAATTATTGTCCGCGGCATTGTGACGCGGCAATTCTCAGACTTATTTTAGGGAAAGATTTTATAAATTTTTTATAACACATATTTTCCGGAAAGTGCGCTGTGTGGGTTGTAGCTTTTGATGAGCTCTATCATCATATGCAATCCAACCATGTTTTTATCCGTGTGTTTCCATCTGAAAATGAGCGATGAAAAAAGGAAGGCGACTAGTCCGCAACTTTTTGGCGGTTACTGTAATCACATATTGTGGACTTAGCTCATTATAACGGCGAACGAGCAAAAACACTATGATGACGTTCCAAAGCATTTTCCTGCAATATAGAACGCAGACAAGTGATTTTAGATTCATAGCCTCATGCGTTTACTTCCGCTGCCACTGTAACGGATAGGAAGCATAAAAAACTTCGTATAACATGCAATATATACGCCTTTCAATGGCAAGGCAATATGCGAACATACATTTTATGTAGATCGTCGGAGCTCGCACATGGATCAGTTTGTGCATCTTTTTCGAAGAAGGAGATAACCATGAAAAACCACTTCAAAAGGCTTCAAATGCGCTTTGGCTAATGTTCCTTAATCGATATTCATCCCATTTCCAGTTCAACCAACCACAAGCGGAATTAAAAATTTATTGATGTCACCCTCTTAATGAACCCTGCACTTCTGCCAGAAACAGGTAAGTGCGCCAGAACCATTATCCAAAATGCAAGTGGCAACGAGGTACGTTACGCCATCAACTGGATTTTCTCCTTGCTCGATTCGCTTGGTGAATAAAGTTTGGGGAAAAAATATTTTTGAACCATAGTCGAATGCAACCATGAGTTTAAAAAAAGTCTTGAGCTGATTTTCTTTTGAGAAACAGCTGAACAGCTTTTGGATTATCTCGACTCTTGCTCCTCGCCGGGACTGATTTGCAAAAAAAAACATCTCAAACTTAAACTAAATCAAGAAATTTTGATTTTCCTGCCACATAACAGGTGGCAGGCAGACAGTTCTCGTAAACTACGACAACGCTATTTAGACTAGAACAGTTATTTCATGAGAACTGATAATAACGAAATTGGTCCCTCTAAGAAAAGTACCTATCATCCATATACCCGTAGCTTTCGTTATCTACCTTAACCATCCTTTTTTCCCTGCAAGATGAAGTTTGACGCTTGACATTTTGCTGGAGCTGAGATTGAATCCGTTTGCACATGCAAAAGCTGTCAAATACGCGGCGAAAGTTGCATCATGTGAATTACTTTTTTCTTGAATGCTTACAATGTATAGAAAGAGTCTTGATACCCAAGGTTTGCAAAGCATGAAACACAAAGATTTTGAAAAGATGAGTTTTTCAAAAGCTGAATTACAGAAAAGCACAAGAAATAGTAAGGGTTTCTGAATCTACGCGTAGGTTCTTAAAGATACCACAAATATGGCGAACATAACTGCTAAGAACATATTCCAGTAAGAAATTGTATTGTTTCCGCATCAAAATAATATGGCTGAAGTCTACAAATCTCTGAATCTGAACAGCTGAGGTATAAAAAAGTTCGTATCAATAAGTCGTATACTGCAGTTGCACTTTTCTGTTTCGTTATTTTCGTTACCATTCTCTCAGTCTTTATTTTCAACAAAAAGAAACAGGTGCGTAATCGAAAACGCCATTGTTTTTTCTTTCTTTCATTTCACATTTTAGATGACACAGCTTTTGTGCTGTCCTGAAAGTGAGAGTACGTCTGAAAGCCAAAGCTTAAAAGAAATCTGCTCGTTGACTTTCACACTGAAGAAGAATGTGCCTCCTCATAGTGGTGAGTGTTTCTGCACAAATTTTTCTATACAAACGTTAAAAGAGTTTTTCAGCTTTCAATTGTCACTGCGTCGTATGCAGGTACTCATAAAATCATATAGACCATGCTAAAAGTAAAAATTGGAAATTGCATCTTTTAGCTATTTGTCCGACAAATGATAATGGCATGAATGATACTATACGTCAAAAATTCTTAGATGTCCATAACGAGCTGAGGTAAGTTGTATCAGAAAGACTGAAGATTCGCTGGGACATGACTGCATCTATCTATCAGCAACAGTGCTTCATTTCTGCTTCGCATAAGTTCGCATTGGTTTTGATATCCGTACGCCTTCCTCATGCCCGCACAATGATGACTTCGAAACTGACCGCGCAGTGCTGGACATATCAAATGATTGAAAAAAAAAACTACTCGTCCTTGGAGCTTGTCCATGCAGAATTTGTAACTCGAGTAAAAAGAAACTTTTCCGCAAAGACCAAATGCGCTTAATGAGTTACTAAGATTACGTTGGCTTGATGATCGTCACGAAGAAAATGACTACCGTAGACTACATCTTTGAGCAAAAATCTTTCTGATTTCAAAGGTATAATTCTGACAAATCACGATTTTTTGGCGCTGATTTTCCCAAGAAAGATTCTTGATTTTTGTGCCTAAGCCCATGACTTGCAGACTTATTTGTCAAGCAAAACCATGATTTCGCAAAAACATTAGAGCGGCGCGACCGAGCTTTGCTGTTCGAAAGGCTTGTGTCCTTTTTGACCGCAATTCATGTATCGGATCTTCTTGTCCTTGTGGGTGGACTACATGCTGTATTTATGCTGTGCCAAATCGTGGCTCTCGAACTTGTTTGCCACCCTTTCTGTGAACTTCCTAGCTGACTGACATACAAATATACGCACAAAAAGGCACGGCCTTAGCACTTTATTTTCATGCAATGATCATTTATCTGCGTTTAACACTTATCTTACAGAGCCTTGGTAGCTTCTGGACGAGCTAAAGACGGGCTTGGAGGTTACGCGCCACCAGCTGCTGCCATGGATAAGCTTGTACTGTTCCTTATCAGCTCCAATCACCATCACATTGGAACAACTGTTGTTGCAGAGGTATGATTGCGAAGTCGAAAAGATCGCAGCTGCTCACGCAGCTAAATGCCAATATGGACATACGACCCTTGAGGAAAGAAAATACACTGGAGAAAACCTTTTCATGCAAACTCCTGCTTTCGATAGTAAACTTGAGGCCGCCGAAGATGTAAGTTGCACAGCCAACGTTTCTGGAGCAAACAGCCCGTTTAGGCTTCGAGATGGTGGTTTGCCGAGCTCGAAGAGTTCGGCGTAGGGACTGACCTTATATACGGTGATGCCCTTTGGGGTAAAGGAGTTGGCCACTACACACAGGTTAGTACTGCTGCGGTCGGCTAGGTAGCAGTTTCTAAGAAATACAAAATGAGTTTACTGCTTCAGATGGTATGGCAAACTACCACTGCCATTGGTTGTGCAATTCAAAACTGCGGTGCCAAAACCATCGTTGTCTGTAACTATGATCCATCGTGAGTGAAATGCTCGGTTAGCATATCAAAAAGCATATTTTTAGTGGCAATTTGTGGAATGGTATTTTGTACGTGAAGGGACCTGCATGCTCACTGTGTCCTGCTTATTGCTCAAACGGTCTTTGCGTGGATGAAAAGCCAACAATAGCACCCGGAAACACAACAGTGGTGACCCAAAAGCCAACAAAAGCACCACAACCAGCAACAGTGGTGACCCAAACGCCAACAAAAGCACCACAACCAGTAACAACGACCCAAAGGCCAACAAAAGCACCACAACCAGTAACAACGACCCAAAGGCCAACAGAAGCGCCAAGATCAACGCCGAAACCAACACAGAAGAAAAGAAGATTTGGTTCATTTTTCTAAAAGCGCAGTGTAAAAGGAATAAAAGTGTGGAATGCGTTCAAAGTACATTGAATTTGAATGAGCACATTTTCCTGTTCTAGTCGTCTTGAGAAATGACAGTTTTACTCGATGTTGCTCATATGTGTGTAAACCTGTTTCACAAATTGAGCTCATGAGCCGCGCAATTTCGTGCAGTTGAGTAATGTAATGGCATTTCGCTGATTTGGTATTTTAGAACGTAGGATCAGAACCACTTGTAAATTGGAAGCCAAGCTTATTATACGTAATTACTTGGATTAGACGTAGACGAACAACTTAGAATTTGTCGTAGCTTTTCATGTTTTATTACAAGTAATTTTTAGTTGCAAAACTCAAAAGTGTTTCCAACCTAATAAATTAACATACCGATCTTACAAAGTAGATGGACGATTATCAATTTGAAATAGAAAGATTCTGAAAATTCAGAGTGTAACAAAGCATGCTAGTAAAATTGAGCAATACAGCATTTGTCGCGGCTCGCGATCGACCGCTTCTCACAGCATGTGGCCGGGAGCACCGTGTTGCCGCGCGTCTCGGTCGTGAGCACGGTCGCCGCGTTTACGGCGGCTACCTTGTTCGCTCCGAGACCACACCATGTAGGGACGCCCCCAGCCACCGCTATAAATAGCGCGTACGTGCGCCAGTGCGGCCTCTCTCGTCTTGTCATCTTGCTATTATTGTCGTGCCGCCTTTATTATTGATGGTTGGGTTTCCACGATATCGCCGTCGTGTCTACGTCCCCGTGCCTCGCGCGATTGGATGGATCGTTGATGGATTATTTGGATGTACGCGCGAGGATAGAATTCTAGGACGATGAACATCACGAAGCGCCTTGGTCGCGCAGGACTTGTTGGGAGCTCGGTTCGATGCTGCTGATTAACATCATGGGGTCGGTGTTGCCATGCCGTAGCTGCTGCCTTGGCGGCGCGCGGCCGGCCTGTGGGTAGCTCCCTTGGATATCGGGAGAGTGTGTGAGTGTGTTAGCGTGTGAGTGTGAGTAAGCTAGAGTCCCCATCGGTAGCCCGGGGTAGAGCTTAACTCTCTCCGTGGTAAGTATGTTTATATTTAATTATATCGTGTATTTTTCTCGTGTTTATTTGTTTAATAAATTTATGTATATTTATTGTTTCTTGTGCAGTGTAGGCGTAACGCGCCATTGTGAGCTGGCGCGCACCCGCAGTGGCGGAAGTCCTTCGGGGACAGGAGCTGGGCGCAAGGCAGTCGAGCACTAGGTGAGGGGGCGCAGAGCCCACCGAGCCGCAACAGCATTTGTATGCTTTTGCATGCACAGTACCGTCAATACGCTAAGACAGATTCAAATTCGAACTAGCAGACCGATTGCTGTAGAGCGCGGCACCACTGACCCTTATTGTTAGTTCAAACTTGCACAGCTTGTCTCTGTTTTTCCTTCATCTTTAAGTGTGCCAACATTGTTCATAATAAGATCCGACAATCTCGTTGCTGTTGAACAATATTTCATGTTGCTGTGTTCGTTTGTGAGCTAATCTCTATTCTGAAGAGACGATTTTACAAAAAGCTTGGAATTTTTGCTCGCAGCTTCTTTTTTGTTTGCAACAAATGCTGAAGTATCGATTCACTAATTCTACAGATTCTCCATGTGCATCGCTTTTTTTTCAAGCTTACCTATAAGCAGTATGAACAAGTCAAACGACCAAAAGATCATTAATTCTAATTACAAGCACTTTCCACTAAAAGCAGTACGCAACGACAAAAACAGAAAAAACAAGCGTAAGCTCTATTTGGGAAATGAGGGCGCCTCTTTTTACAGCAGTGGACCTCTCGCGGTTCAAAATGAATTCATTTACTGAGTGTCTAGCTAGCTGAGAACTCGCAAAGAGAATAGGGTTGCTGAAAAGCGGAGAATAAGGTGCATCAATTGGACCTTGAATTTACAACTTCAGGTCACGAGGTTTGATTGGACAGAAAAGAACTGGTCACTTCAAAAGAGTACTTCGAAAACTTTTTTTTAAAATTCCAGGAATTACAAAGAAATTGCTTCAATTTGCAAAAGATTTACCCTACAGCTAGCCATCAATGCATCATCAAAAGTCTCACACGAAAATCTCGGAAACTAGCGAAATGTAGACATGATGGAAACAAAAGGTTGAACTGCGAGTATTCCAGCACTTGTACAAAAACCCGCGTTTGGGACATGGTTGCTAGAAAACGGAACAATTGTGCTGAATACTTTTTGAAAATGTTTGTTTGTTTTTACTGTACGGGATTTGCAGGTGGCTCAAACAATATTTTTTGCACCTACCAAGGCGAATGATCTTCTTCTTTTGTTGAGATAATGTCTACCCAAAAAGGTGGTAAGATTTCGATGCTATGCAATAGCGAGGCTATTAACTAACCAGTCGCCCAAGTCTCGATGCAGAACATAAATTTCAAAGTAAGAAAACCGTTCCACAAGGAAGAAAAGACCACGCTCGCTCTGCCTATCATCGTAGTGGTCTGTACAAGTTCGAAATTGATTCCAGAATAGAAAGGTCGCAAGTTTGGTAATTCCAATGATGGGCGGGTTTGTGACAATCTTGGATACATTCAAGCTCAATCAGGCTCGGCAGGAGGTGGCATTTCAGAATTTTGAAAACGGTATCCCCTTTGAAGCCAAAATTTCTTACGACTTCCCCTTTGGCCCTATTTTTGACCCCCGTAAGTCCCTGACAAACAGATATACACAAATAATAAGATGGGCGGCCTCAGCGCTTATTACAGTAGTACTGCCTGGCTTTCCTGGTCCAGCCCGGGTCATCGTTTGAGGGATGGCCAAAAACCACACTTTGTCCCTCTACCTTCCCGTCCTCTTGGGCCATATTCTCCACCCCTTTTCTGCAGTATTAATACTGCACTGCAGCCCTCCATCTTACCCTCCTGCACGAGCTTACCCCAGAAAGGCTTATTGGAGTGACTGCACCTTCTAATTTTAAAGTGGAAATGATTTTCACTGCATTGTTCACACCAAAATGTGCAAGCAGTTTGCTAGCGGCTGGTAAGCGTTCACTTTCCTTAAGGTGCCAAAAATCATTAAATCGATAGAAGAATTCCACGAATTGCTTCGAAGGGTAGCTCAAAACCATCTACCGAGGCCGAAAACATATGTTTTCAAGGTTTCAGCTCTATGGGTTCATCCGCAAAGGAATCTATAAAAAATATAGGGTCAGGATTTGCACAAACTTTGACGTTTATATATTAGGGTGATCCAAAAGTAATGGGGCAGTTAGAGAAAAAATGCAGTTTTCTCAAATAGAAAAGCTAATTGGAAGTCCAAGTTCTGGCAGAGGTTAGTACATAACAAAACCTTCTGATCGAGGTCTATAGTTGGGCACTGTCACGTGGCGTTATTTTTATGAGCGCTCAAAATTGAAGCTCACCACTTCAAGTAATTTTGAACTTTGAGCAGCAGCGCCGCAGTAAAACAAGTGAGCCTAGCAAAGTTATGTGCGCAGCAATGGGTGAGGGGACTGTCACCAAATCCACAATAGCTCGGTGGTCCCAAGGCTTTAGAACAGAAGATATAGCATTGGGTATGAGGAGACATATTACTTATTCTTTCATCAAGGTAATCAAATAAGCCCAAACTTAGCAGTTGCTTTCTGATAGTGCTTTTTACGCTCTATCCATACATATGCAAACTACTTCAACTTTTCTCATTTTCAAAAGATTGTGGTCCAAAACATGAATTTTAGTCTAAAAATCTGTGCCGAACACCGCGCTTTTTCGAATAAAGTGCCTTTTTTGTATGAAATAATGGTGTCAGAGGGCGCGGATCACCGACCTACCGATCTTCAGTGGCGGGAAGAAAAGCCCGCGCTGACCCCTTCGGCAGGGTATAAATACCGAGAGTCAGGGGGAGTCTCAGAGTCCGCGCTGGAGAAGCGCTAGAGGGAGCTAACTCCGTCGAAGAGAGGCGGAACTCCCCCTTAGATAGAGAGTAGTAACTAGTAGCCTGCCGAAGTGGTCAAGAGGGTAAAGCCCGCTGTTTCGTTGTTAAGCTTGTTCACGTTACGCATTATTGTTCTTGTTGTTCGTTGCCGTTTTTCTGAGATAAACTGTTAGTCGTTTAATCCGTGTTGCCTATCGATCCGGTTAAAACCGCTATGCCACTAGACACCCCCGGTTACATGGGGGCCGAGCCGACCTGGATCGATTGAAATACACACGGGGCGACTGATATCGACTGTCTCAGAGGCAAGACAGCAGAGAACGCGTTGAACAGGCCAAGAAGGCGAAACCAAAAGACCAAAAAAGTGGGAAACTATACGTCATCGAGCAGGTGATGTATGTAACAGGCCAAGAAGGCCAGATCTAAGATCAACTGGAAGAAGTCTCTATCATATCATACAGAGCAGGCAGTTAAGGTATAAGGGGGAAGTGATTATTGATCAAATCATCCACGCTTAATAGAGGCGTGATTATCGATTGTGATTGACTCTCTTCGATCAGCTGAGACGCGCGATTTCGCGTGCGGCGTTGATTACCGATGAATGTAAAGGCAAGGCGAAGCATTTCGCTGCCGAGTACATTCATGTTCATGGATATGGATCGGAAGCAAAGATGCGCAGATGATATCCAGGAGAGAAAAGCACACTTGAT